CCTCTTTCTGATCTGTTAGGTTGTTTAGACATAGTTGCTGCAGTAGCAAATAAGATAACTGTGACTCCAGTTTTCTTACAAATTAGTAGTTGTATTAAGAAGCAGTTAAATCAGAGAAAATTAACAGAACCTGCTGGAAAATTGTAAAAAAAAAAAAGAGAGTTTGTCAGAGGATTAGTAAATACTCAATTTATATGACATTTAAAAAGAACAAGTTCAGGTGAATGAATTTCATACTTTAGGTGGGAAGCTAATAAAATCAGTTTTAAACCTTTTTCTTTGGACGCCAGTTGTACAAAATTAGATGAATTATAATCCTTGATTCATGATACACTTAAATAATTATTCCAAGCATGGCTGCTGTTTATTTTTAATAATATGATAAATACACACAACATGAGAACTAAAACATGAGAACTAGAATTCACATCACATTTACCCATGTGTACCTTAATATAATTTATTTTAAGATCTTTATGAGAATTTTGGTTATATATATTTCTTACTAATTAGTAGGAATTCCTTTTTTCTTTGGAGGGAGGGGAATTACTTTTCCCAGACTTTTATTTTTCAGTTTTGTTTTTGGTTTCTATTGTTAAGAATTTTAAACCAAAAAATTGGTGTAGTCAAGTTTAGTAAATCTTTGGTTTTTTGCTCTCCATGTGTTATTTAGTAATTTTTCCTTAACTGTGATTTCATGAAGATAAAAAGTTATATATTTAGGTCTTTAGTACACCTGTAATTCATTTTGTGAATGGTGAGAGGTAGTGATTTAATTTTTTGTCTTGTGTCAATAATCACTTGTCCCAGCATCATATATTAATAGTCTTTTTTTTTTTGCAGGGTGGTGGGGAGGTAGTTAGGTTTATATATATATATATATATATATACATATATAGAAATACTGGGATTGAACCCAGGACCTCATGCTTGCTAGGCATGCACTTTAACACTGAACTATGCCCTCCCTGCCTTCATTGATTTTAGCACTTCCTCTTCCTACATTAAGTATGCATGGGTCTTTTTGATATATTGGGTTATATCTACACTGTTAATTATTGTCTAATTACCATAGACTAGGTAGGACAGTTCTTCTCAGGAGGGTTTTGGCTAACTTCTGCCCTTTGTTCTTTTACATACTTTTTTTTCCCCCTTAACTACCTTTGTCAAGTTTTTTGTAAAACCCTTTTGGGATTTTTGACTGGAAATATACTGAATTTGTTAGATGAATTTGGTAGAAATTGACATCTTTAAGATATTGAGTTTTCCTATCCAAGAACATGGTATCTCTTCATATATATGAGACTTCTTTAATTTCTTTCAGTAGATTTATTCATTTTCCTCACAGAGGTCTTTGTACGTCTTTTGTTAGATTAAGTCTTAGGTATCTTATAGTTTTGGTGGTTATTGTAAGTGATACAGTTTTTAAAAATTACATTTTCTGTTCATTGTTGGTATATAGAAAAACAGTTGATTTTTATATATTGACCTATATCCACACATCTCACACTCTTCTAATATCTGAAGATTCTTTTGGATTTTCTGTGTAGAGAGTCTTGTCATCTACAAACAATGATTCATTTTGTCCTTTCCATTTCTTATGCCTTTTAATTTTTCTCATCAAGCTCTACTGGTCAGGATTGCCAGTGTGGTTTTGAATTGAAGTGGTAATTGTAGATGTATATGTTCTTTTCCCAGCATCAAGGAGAAAGTTCTAAATATTTTGCCACTGCTTGTCTTGGCTGCTTTTTTATTTTAATTATAAAATTTACCAAGTGATTTTTATTGCATCTACCAAGATGATGTATTAATTATCTATTGCTGCATAACAGATTACCTACAACATGTGTTGATGAGGATGTGGAGAAATTAGAACCTTTGTACACTGCTGATGAGAATGTAAGATGATGTAGTTAGGCATTTTCTCAAAATCTTAAGCATAGAATTACTATATGTTCCAGGAATTCCACTCCTAGGTATATACCTAAGAGAAAAAGAAAACATACGTTCACATGAAAACTTTTACATGAATTTTTATACCAAAATTATTTATAATAGTGAAAAAGTGGAAACAACTCAAATTTGCATCAGCTGATGAACAGATAAGTAAAATGTGGTATATCTATGCAATGGAATATTATACAGCATTAAAAAGAATTCAAATACTAATACATGTTACACATAGATCAATATTGAAAACGTACTAAGTGAAAGAAGCCAGTCACAAAAGACTATATGTTATAAAATTCTCTTTATATGAAATGGCCAGAACAAGCAAATCTCTAGAGATAGAAAGTAGATGAGTGGTTGCCAAGGACTAAGGGTTGGGGAAGGATGGGGAGTGATTGCTAATGGCCATGAGTTTTTTTGAGGGGGAGAGGGTGCTAAAAATGTTCTAAAATTAGATTGTGATGATGTTTGCATGACTTCATTAATATACTAAAAACCATTGAATTATATGCTTTAAGTTGGTGAACTGTATTATATGTGAGTTATATCTCAGTAAAGCTATTTTTAAAAAGGTAGCTACAGATGTAGTTTTGTTAGATACTGCCAAGTTCCCCTCTCAAAGTGTTGTATCAGTTTGCATTCCCACCATCAATGTATAGATGTTTTACCAACAGAATATAATGTTATGTATTTTAATTTTCACCAATCTGAGGAAAGGAATCTGTTTTTTAAAATTTGCATTTTTCTATGAGTAAATTTGAACATCTTTTCATATGTTTAAGGGCTATTTTTATATCTGTTCTTGTGAATTGTGTGTTTGTGTATTTTTCATATTTTTCTCTTGGATTTGTTCTTCTCTATTTCAAGCATCGCTTATATGTTAGTTATAAGTAGCCTTTTGTGATATAGTATCTTATTTCTAATATCATAGATGGGGTTTTCCTTGTTTTTGTACTTTGTACAAATAAAATCATGCACATAAACTTTTTTAATGACAGTATGATCTGTATTCTAGGCAACTAAATTATAATCTGAGCTGAATTTACTTCTGAGTGATACTTAGGTTTGCTATCATTTCTCAGAGGTTTTTTTTTCCAGTCGTCTTATTTTAGTTGCTTCTCTTATTGTTATACCAATTTTTACCCCTTATTCTAGTCTTAGACCAAATGGTGTTTCCTTTCTGAAGTCTTTCTAGAACATACCCACTCCCCAGGGCTGACTTAGGTGTTCCTTTTTAAAATATTTCCACTGTACTCTGTAGTTTCCTTTATGGCATTTATATTATTGTAATTGTTTCTGTATGTTTCTCCTTCTGTTTGAAGGAGACTTTAAGCTGTTTGAAGGCTGAGTCTTCACTTCATTTTTGTGTTCCTGGCATAGTGCTGTATTTGGTATGTAGTAAGTGCTAAATAAATCTTATTGAAAGACCTGGTATAGTAAGAAAGAGGAAAGAGGTGATGTTATTATAGGGAAAAAGTTGTCCATGAGGGACAAGTGGAATTTGAAAACCAAGAAAGAGGGCATTCCTAGTGAGAGAAGGGAACCAGCAAAGGAATTGGCATGGGAATGAGCATGGTCTTTGTAGTGAACAGTGATAATATTTGTCTGATTGGAACATGTTTGTTTATTCTTGTGTTCATCACATCTTTACTGTGTATCCTGTATGAAGGCACTGTTTTCAGTGGTATAAACCACGGATTTTTAGAAACTGGGCACACAGATATTTATAATTTGGTGCATTGGGAAAGCAGCAGGAATTAAGATTAAGATGGTAAAGAGAAGCAAGAGTTTAGAGAGCACTGAAAGAAAGGCATAGATATTGGCCATGATATGGTTGATAGGAGGTGGCAAGTGAATGATTTGCTGGAAACAAAGGTGTATAGTGTGGATTAGGGGAAGAGAATTATAGAAAATGACATTGGAGATTAGGTTGCTTTAGAGTTGAGACCTGTGAAACAGCTAGGGATTGGCCAAATGGGCAAACAGGGTAAGGAAATCAAGAAAAGAGAGAGAGAAATTTAGACAATTGTAAACAACTGTGGTATAAACTTAGATGGAGGGAATAAGGGAAAATGGGCCAGACAAGTGAGTGTGGATTTGATTTGTGACTTCCATACCTGAGCATATCAGAACGAACATTTTATAACTTCTGAAAAATAGACCTAGACGCCTTGCTTGTTCCTCCTAAAATTAGTGTGCTTGCAAAGAGGTTGAGATTTCATCTTGCAGTTGATGATGAACTACTGAAGAATTTTGAGAGGGGCCTGACATTATTCTATCTGGGATCACCCTGATAATGCAGCTGTAGATGGAATGGAAGGGAGGGAGGATTAGAGATAAATAGGCAAATTCTGAGGGTCTTAACAATAATATAGAGAAATGGTAATAACGACCTCAAGCAAGGCAGAGGATATGAGATTATAGAGAAAGGGTCAAGAGAAAAGAGTATGATGGTGTTGATGGAGGAAGGAGTTGCAGATGACTTTAGCGTCTGTTTTAGGCAACTTGTGTGGGTGATAGGGTAGTTTACTGAGCTAAATATAATAGAAGCATACTTTGGGGGAGATAACAGAGAAGAAGTTTAGTTTGGGACATACTGGACCTTCTCTCACATTTTTATTGATCCCATTTAATGACTAGTCTGGATACTCTGACTGATTTCTCTGGATTCATTCTTGACTCTTTCATTCACACCCCACATCCAGTTTGCTATCAAATTTTGCCCATTTTACCTTAAAAATTTTTCCCCGAAAATTGACCACTATTCACTCTCTGCAGAACCTACCACTCAGTACTAGCCACTATCACTTAATTTTTGGGGGGGTGGGGTGGGAGGTTTACTTATTTTTGGAGAAGGTACTGAGGATTGAACCCAGGACCTCATGCATGCCAAGCATGCGCTCTACCACTTGAATGATACCCTCCCCACTCACCTAATCTTTATAGTAGCTTCCAAACTGATCTCTCTGCTTCTGTGCTTGTCCCCTTGTGTATTCTCAATCCAACATCTGAATGATCCTTATAATGATCAGGTCATCTCTCTGCATAAACCTCTCCTTTCCCCTGGGGTAAAAGTCCTCACAGAGGGCCTACATGATCCCCTCCTCTTACCTCTCTGTCATCATCTTTCTTCTTCTTGCTCACTTCACTCCAGCCATATTGGCCTCCTTGCTGATCCTTGAACTAGTCAGGAGTATTCCCTCTTACGATCTTGAATTTTCTCTTTCCTTTGACTGGAGGGCTCTTTCCCTAGTCATTGGCACAACTCATTCTTTTTTTTCGGTTCCCACTCATATGTCACTTTTTCAGTGAATTCTTCTCTTACTACTCAGTTTGAAATTGAAACCCTCTTCCTTGCTGAATATTCTCTCCTTTTGGTTCGTCTCCTTAGCCTTCATCACCATCTATATGTGTGCTATACATATTTTGCTTATTTTCATCTCACCCTAGTGGAATATAAGATCCACAAGAACAAAGACTTTTGCTTTATTCACCACTGTATCTCTAGCAACTGAAAACTAGTATGTAAAAGGTGCTCAGTTAATATTTGTGAAATGACTGATTTAATTAATGTAGTCCCTGGGATGTCCTGGAATAGATGCTTATTACTTATTTATACTCTATTTAGTTTCACAAGGAAGTAGAGGCAAGAAAGGGTCTAGTAGACAAACTGGAGCCCATAAATTAGACTGAAAGAGAGATTTGAGGAAAGCCATGGCAATACATGAGAAAGCTTAGAAGAGTGTAAACAGTCAGATGAGGACTAGGGATGGGATCCTGGAAACACCCACATGTAAGAGTTGACCAGAGAGTAGCACTGTCCTTAGACTTACCCAAGCGAGAACTTTTCTCTGGGCCTTGTGCTTTATAGGTCCTCGTTTAGCCTTCCTCTAACCATAGCCCTCCTGATAGGATAAGGATTTTGAGGCGCTAAGGGAACTAGTCCATCTGGTACCCATTTCTAGATCGAGTTATGAGTGTTTGAATCCCAGAATTCCCTGTCCACGTGGCTTTTCACAGGTCTACTCTTTGATTCTCTCCTCTCTTGACTGTAGCATGTGTATGGGCTTTCATAGGCCTAGAGGATAGCCAAGTGGCAGCTGTTTGCAGTCCTACGGCCAGAGCTTGGACATGTTGTCTGGGATGTCCACATGGATGTATGTGAGGTTCCTTGTAGTATGGATTGGAGCTAAAGGTGGGACAAGAAAAAGGGGCAGGGTGGGGTGGTGGTATGGTCCGCCCATGTGCCCCTGTAGAGCTTCAGTCTTAGAATTCCAAATCAGAACTTTGCCTTTTAGGTTGTTATAAAACTGTATATGTCAAGATAGGAGGATAGAATAATAATTTACTGCTTTGTTAGGTTGGTTTATAATTTTAAACTATTTAGACATACAGTATATGGGCTTACATTTGTACTCTTCAAGTTCCTTGAAAATTAGGAGTGGGCCTCCAAGAGGGAATTGAAAAGGAGTAGCTAGCGAGGGAGAAGATAAACTTAAGATAGAGTTTCAAGGAGGGAGTGATCAGCGCTGTCAAATGCTTCAGAGATGTTAAATCCTATGAAGACAGAAATGTATCCATTGGATTTCATAAGCAGAATTTAGTAAAAATTTCAGTTGGTGGTGATGGGTGCCTAACTTCCATAGAAGGAGTACCTGAGAAATTAGGAAGTGGAGACAGGATATGAAAGATTTTTTTTGTAGAGTCTTACCCAAGAAAGGAAGGAACTAGAGCAGTAGCTGAAGGGGTATGTATGCAGGGTCATGGAGGAGTCATGTTTAAGATGAGAGAATCTGTAAATGTTTAGATGTTGAAAGAAAAGACTCAATGTTAAGTAAGAGAATTAAGGGAAAAGAGGGAATAATTGATGGAACAAGACTTTAGATGCAGTGCATAGGTCAATAGATTAGCTTTAGAAAGGTGGAGGGCTATTTGAAGAGGCTTAGGAGGTCTGGATGTATATGGATGCCAAGTTTGGAGGGTGAGAGAGCAGAAAGTTGAGTAGCAGGAGAGTTAACAGGCAATAATATATCATTAATATTGTTTTATAATAGTTGTTTGGGTTAGTCTTTTTAAACTTGATTTTATACTCCTGGGGTTCTGGGGTTATGCCTGCAGCCACTTGTTAAAATCCTGTTGGTTGATTGAAATATAACCCATAATATGGGGCATGGGCTATATGTCTTGGGCTCTGTCCTTACTCAGTAATTGTTATTTAGTAGTGACTTAAAATTTCAAGTTTGAAAAAAGCTGCTGATTCCTCAATAGCCTAGGAATAATTTGTATGTTCATTACATAATGTGTGCCATCAAGCTTTGGAGATGGTTTGTTGTAATAAGTGTATACTGTCTGAATCACACCTACTTTGGGCAAAATATTTTTTAATAGAATTATATTAATACTATCTTTTTCCCCCCACTAGTAGTTCCAGAGAACTGCTGGTCTATATTTTAGCTCTTGCCAAGTTGTGAAAATAGTGAAAGATGCTTAGACTACTTAACATTCAAACTGTAAGTAAAATTTATTTCTGCTATTATTATCTATATGATTAGAAAACAGGAATTGAAAATAGTTGTTTCCTAATATGATAATAGTGAGCTTTAGTGTGATGGGATTGTGGATTTTTCTTAATTTTCATTCTTAAGATCCAAATACATCTTATCCCATTTTCTGTTGATAAAATCAAAAAGAGACTAGTAGTACTGATGCGTCTTAGGTAGTGAGGTGAAATTTCTGCTCTTTTCTCCAGGTATTTCTTTTTATTATACCAGTTTATGAAAATTCTGTATTATTTTATTTCTATGTCTATATGGTACCAGTGTTCAAACTTAATATAGGACACAGTATTAATGGAATGATTAATTAGAAATGTATATTCTTTTCTCTTTAAATATGCTTACATCTTCTACATTCTTTAGTTTTTGTATTAAAAAATCCTATTAGAAATAAATCTCTAATTTCTCTATGAAATATTTAACATACACAAAATCAAATAAAATGTAACTTTCTAGAAATAATCTAATGCATAAATCTAGATGATGTACATAATGACACTCATCTCTACTGGGGGAAAAGCTTGAATTATGTTTACTGAAATCACTTGCTACATTGCATTTTGAACCAATGGCAAAAAAATTGAGGAAAGAGTGATAAAGTAATATTAAAGGCATTCTAAGTCATTTTACTACCTTATTTTCAAACTACTGTTTTTGAAAGTATAACTCAAATTAATCTGTTTTACAGACCTTATAGAATATTCAAAATGTGAACACAAAATGATTGCTACCACAACCAAAAGATAATTCTAATTAATTATTCCAATAAACAAACCAAATGAGCCAAAGAAGAATGAAATATTTACAAACCAGTAAATCCTCTAATTTGTTAGAGACGAATGATTTTAGAAGTTGTCACTGTCCAGCACATTTAATGTTTTCAGTGCATAAAAAATTGTTTATATGTCAGGAATTTTTACCAAAATATTTCAGGAATAACAGTATATCTTCATCAAGAGAGAAAGTTACAACATCTTATGTCTTAGAATATAAATATAATAAGGTCATTCATGTGCAACAGAACATTATTTCAGATTGTAATCTTATTTCAAATTGTTCAAGAACTTGACAATTCTAAGCAGAATGCTCATTAGTGCCCTCTTTTGACACAGGGCTGTATAGGCCTATCTTCTTTTTCTTAGTTTACAAAAATGTTAAAAATTAGATTGCAAAATAGGTTGTTTTATATCCTCCTTGTGTAGTTTTAATAACTTTTCAAATTCTTCCCTTTTTTAGGCTTTCTGGTTAATCATCTTTAGAAGACTGGATTTCTGGATATCTACTCTACTCCACTTCTATTGACTTTTAAAACATGATAATGCAAACCTGTAATACTGGCAATCATCCATGAACCTTTAATTACATTGATTAATAGCATTTGAAGCTTCCTCAGGGAATAAACAATGACATCAGCAGTGGTTCACAGTGGAGGTTCTATTTTGGAGCTTTCCAGCAATGGAGTAGAAAATCAAGAGGTTAGGCATCTAATATATTTCATTTCTGTTTTATTCATAGAAGTCAATGCATGAAGTAATTTTGAATTTAATGGGAAACAGGTATTTGAGAGTAGAAATGTACAGTGCATGAAACTGTACATGTATGTCATGTGTCCATGAGGTTTATTACTATACATAGGTAATAGAAGGTTGAGGGAAGGTATTGCTGGGTCTGAGTTGCTTGAGTTGTTGGAACATACATATATTGATTGGATTGAACCGGGAGGAAAATATTGAAAGAAAGAGCATGGTAGTATTAGTTGAGAGAGAGATCGAAAATCTTGATAAAATCCGTTGTTTGGGATTTTAGAGTGCATAGTTATATGCTGTACCTAAATAACTAAATAAGATTCATTTTAATTTATGTTTTATTTACGTATTTTTAATGGTGGTACTGGGGATTGAACCCAGGAACTTGTGCTGAGCATGCACTCTACTACTGAGCTATACCCGCCCCTCATTCATTTTCATTTAGAATTTTGTATCTCCTTTAATTGTTATCTTTGTTTTTACATCTAATTCAGCCTGGAAATTCATCATATTTTAATCATATATTATATACTTAAGAATTTAGGTAATTTATAAATCAGAAAAGAAACTCAGTTTTTGAAATTTTTTACTTGAAGAATTTTGCATCATTAGCATATTTGGTTATTTTCCTGTTATTGAGAACAGTAAAGAATAAGAGATGGGAGTTGAAAAATAACAGTACCAGAAATATATGGACTTCCACAGGGCCTGGCTTCTGTTCCCACCATTCAGTGAAGACTGAATATTGGGAAGAATCTAAATTAAAATATAATAATGCTGCACAATAAAGGACAAATATTTGGTCAGAGATAAGATGGGAAAATGGAGAGTTTGTTGTATTTAAAAAACCTATTTTTTCTGTATTCTGTGAAAGACACTGCTGTTACTGGTACTTAGTACCAACACAGTGGTAGAGTGACACGGCTGAGAAATGAGTTAGGACATCAGGTTTTGTGTTCTGGAGTTTGGATTCTTTTTCTTGCTTGCTTGGTGTCTGTTCAGTCTTCAAAGATGGCTATGGTAAATTCAGTGGGAAGGGGATAAAGTGAAGGTACTTTTCCTTTGTTTTCAATAGACTTGATAACTTAAATGTTACTGTTGTATTTGAATCTAAAACTGGTTCAAAGTCCATTAAGAGAAGCCCACAGCTAAAGGACATGCTTTATTCTCTATCAATTTCTACTTTTTTCTTAAAGATTCACTTTCCGCATGATCACTTCCAGGTATGATTCACCAAAGAAATGAGGGAGTTTAGGGAACTTCCATTGCCTTCTACATCACCCAGACCAATGATTGCTTCTTCAAGTGCTTTCTCTTTTGTCCCATGGTTTTACTCTTTTGGTTTTTAATTCTGTAGAGGGAGCTGCTAAGAACAGTAGGCAGAGTATATTTACCTTGTGCTGATTGGATACTGCTATTATGGGAAAAAAGAGTGTAACAGTTTGTTTCTGGAAGATTCTATATTTTCCTTCATTTGTATGCAACCCTAAGAGTTCATGGCTTGAAAAACTGATTATTTTGGAAGAAAGAATCTGATAAGTGAAATAATTTTACTAAAGCATTATTGGCTAATGATTTATTTGGTAGCCTTATAAGGTGGTCACAGGAATTTTAGGTAGTGTGGCACCAGAAAGGAGGAAACTATTCTTGAGGACTTTTCTTCAAATTATACCATGTGGGTACCCTCTTTCATTCATTTCTTCCTTCAACAAATATTAATTGACCGTTTACTGTGTGTCAGATATTTCTCTAGACACTGGGGATAAAGTATTTCAGAATGGCTATGAAGAATAAATCAGGGCTGGAGATGAGTGGAGAGATAGTAGGGATATTTTAATTAGGGTGGACAGAGAAGGCTTCTCTGAAGAGGTGGCATATTAGTTTAGATCTAAATAAAGTAAGGGATTGGGCTATAGAAACATTTGGGGAAGAGAATTCCTAGAAGGAAGAAAACCACTAGTATCTGAAATACCTTCTAATTTTCAAAGGGAGTTTTGGAGATAGTGGTATTTGAAAGAGAATTTTGTCTAAAAGCAACTATTTAGGAATAAATTTATAATACATATCTATAATACCTATACTCTAAAATGTAGGGTAGGGTGGAAAAAAGTGACCTGTCAGGAGTTAATTACCATAGCTCCAGAATCTGAAGGAAAAAATAAATATTTAAAAAGTGGTGGGCGTTTGGAGAGTCCATTAGTGATTTTTAGGCTTTATTTTTTATAATTTTATTCCTGATTATAAAAGTAATACATTTTATAAAATTAGAAAAATTCTATTTCTGACAAAGATACGAAAAAAAGTAAACTACAATCTTACTAAGGATTGTTAAGTACAAAAATCATAAAATAGTAATAAATTTATAAAATGTAGTCATATATTAAAAAATCCAATTACCAAATAGGATTTAGATACACAAAGATAATTCAATATTAAGAAAACCATTAATGTAATACATGTTCCTACTAATATGACATATGATATGTTAGTAGGGATAAAATACTTAATGAAATAGGATTTTACGAAATTCAGTGTCCGTCCTGATAAAAACTTAAATAATATAAATTTGGATGTATATTTCCTTAACATTATTTAAAAAAGAAACTGTTACAAATCAAGCCAGAACCCTGTTTACTGGTGAATGACTGGAGAATTTCCTTTAAAATTGAAAAGAAGATCAGATTGGGCACTGCCATTACTATTATTTAATATTTTCCTGTAATCATGCAAGATAAAATACGTAAATACTATGAAGAAGACCAAATTATTATTTGCAGATAATATGATTCTCTACCTGGGAAAACCAAAAGGAATCCATGAAAAGCCATTAGAATTAATAAGAGTGCCTGGGAGTTTGAGTACAAAATTAACATTTAAAATACTTAACTTTCTTTCGTAAGAAAACTGGTTAGAAGAGATCATGGAAAATAGGATCTCTTTCAGAAAATTAACAAAAAATATAAGGTAGTGAGGAATACATGTAAAAAATATGTAGGACTTGTTTGAAGAAAATTAATGATACTGAAGTAGACTTTAATAAACAAAGATAAACTTTGTACTTGAATAAGAGAAATGGGAAGGGTCAATATTGTGGAGGATGTCAATTTCCTCCAATTAATCCATATATTTAATTCTATCTCTATCAAATATTAGGGCAAGTTTGGGGGAAACTGATTATATTGGCCTAAAGACTGTATGGAAGAGTAAACATGTAGGAATAGCCAGAGCAACTTTTGAATAGGAAATGTAAGTAGGTCTCATAGAAATGGGGAATTAATGCAGAAAAAAATGAAAAAGGATTTAAGTATTATTTTCAAAAACAAAATGAATGGAAGTTTTAGAGGGCATCTTCTTCCAGACAAATAAGATTGGGAATTCTTTCACTTTTGATTGTGATGGAGTAACTGAGACCAGATTTATACTCCTACCGTAAATAACTAGGAAAATGAACAAAACATATGAAACCATAGTTTGGAAACATTGGTGCTATGGTCTGAAGGTTTGTGACCCTTCAAAATTCATATGTTGAATCCTAATCTCCAAAGATGATGGTGTCAAGTAATAGGGCCTTTGGGAGGAATTAGGTCATGAGGGAGGAACCCTTATGAATGGGATTAGTGCTTTTATAAAAGGCTTCAGAGAGATCCCTTGCCCCTTCTACCATGTGAGGATTCAACAAGAAATCTGACCTGGAAGAGGGCCTTGTAGTCTGGTATTTTGTTACAGCAGCACGAATGGACCAAGACAGTTGGACAATGGGCAGCACAAGACTGTGCTTCCTGAGGAAAGAGAAGTGACTGTACTGACTTATTTCTTGGAGCCCTTTCTGAACCACAGTGAGAGAAGGAGGAATCCAAGCAGAGTGTCATGGTCTCACTGAATTGAGGAAACAGACTTTGGAATTGGAGAGGCTAATGGAACCACTTTGAAGACTCAAGAGTATTTGAGAGGAAGAAGCTGGTCAGAGAAAGAATATAAAAAACTCAGCCTTGGAGTCCCGTCGTCTTTAGTTAAAAGAGCTGCCCGAGTGTAGTGTGAAACTCTAAGAAGCCAGGCAAAGAATGACCAGAAAGGTATAAACTCAATAATTTACAGAAAATAATCTACAGAGTTCACCCAGGGCTGGGACGTATTAGAGTTCCAGCCAGTTAGAGAGTCCTTGTTAAGTGTCCAGGGCATTCATTAGAGACTCCAGAGGGGACATGTCTTACAATAGAGCTAAACTAGCCCTAGAATAAAGGGTAGTCCAAACTTGCTCTAAAAAGTTTTAAAAATAGACTTTGAAAGCTGATCCATAATATAACTGTCATAGTAAACATTATTAAAATAAGACAACAATGTGTAAATTGTACCCAACAATGTAAAATTTACGTATGTAATACCCATTCATGTTAAATGCAAGGAAGCAGGAATAATACAATCATTATGTAACTTGAAGAAAAAAATTGTCAGTGAAAATAGAAATACAAATAATATGATGAAATTAGATTTCAAGAGAGCTGTTATAAATATGCTCAAGAACTTAAAAGAAAGCATGAACCTGAGAGTAGAGGCATAAAAGATATGAAAGAACAAAATGAAACTTTTTTTTTCAGATGGGAGGATTTAATTAGATTTACTTATTTATTTATTCTTAGAGGAAATAATGGGATTGAACTCAGGACCTCATACATGCTAAGCATGCACTCTACCATTTGAGCTATAACCTCCCCCCCAATAAAACTTTTAGACATGAAATATATACGATCTGAAAAGAAAAATTCATTGCATAGGATTAAAAATAGGTATTGCAGAAGAAAAGATAAGTGAATTTGAAGTGGGTAATAAAAACTACATTATGAAGCACGCAGAAAAACCGGGGAAAAAAAAAGAATAGAGACTTGGTTTCCTGTGGCACAATATCAAGTTGTCTGACATAATGTAATTGGAGTCTCAGAATGAGAGGAGAG